GCAGCATGCCCCGTCGCGGCGGGGGCTGCAGCTGTCAAGGGAGTGGCACTGCCTTCCATGGTGCGCTCGGCCTCAGGACACTGAGCAGCAAGCGGATTCAAGGCAGCAACACCGGTGGACCGCAAGGGAACGTTGCGGCCACGCGCAAGGAAGAGCAGCCGTGGCAGCAGGTGGACACTACGGCCGGCCATGCACTAGGAAGGACCAGCGGAGGAAGGTGACGCGTGGGGAAGGCGCTCCCCGTGACCCACACCCATGGCCGCCTTGTGGGCGGCCATGTTGTGAGATTAAGGCGTGAGAGCATGACCGGGAGAGCGGCCACGAGCTGCCCAATGGGGCAGCATGGGGGAGCGCTGAGGGCCTGGCGCCATGACACCGGGCGGGCCGGATGAAAGCGGCACAGGCTGAGAGGCGCGTGCCGCTAACGGCCCGCACTTTGGACAGTGGAATGCGTGCATCTGGGGACGAATTCCACTGGAGATGGCTGGCTGGAAACGGGCAAAGACCCATGGAACCGGTGGGAGCTGGGCGGTGGCCGATGCGCCGCGTTGCTGGCCACTGCGTGAGACTGCGCCGGGAGGCACAGAGAGCGCATGGAGATGGGAGCCAAGCAGCTTCGAGGCTGCAGTGAGGCCGGCGCCGCATCAACGTCGAGGGGGCTGGCCGAGGGCCAGCCGTTGAGGCTGAAGGAAGGCACGCAACACTGAAGGCGCGGTGTGGGGGATCCAATGCCCCTGCGCCAGTGGAACGGAGCGAGGCCGGAGCGGGTCGGAGGAACTGGATCCAAAGACATGGCCGGTACCTTGGACGGCCCATGGTCGCGCCGAAGGCAGCATTGAGGCAGCAAACATCCGGGATGACCAAAGCGAGAGTGGAGACGGCCACCCACCATCATCTGAGAGGCGATTGTTGCCGCGGAGCCAAGGATGGAGCTGACGCCCCACGTGGCATTTCCGGGGCATGAGGCCCATGAACACCAAAGCCCGCGAGGGCCATTTTTGAGTGGAATCGGCGGAGCGCTGCGCTGCCAACCGGGCGCACATGCGGAAAGAAGACGCGCAAGCCTTGCACGGTGGCAATGAAAGCTTGGCGACGTGGCGGAACGGCAGGTAATGGCACTCTGCGCCATGAGTCTAGCTCCCCGTGGGAGCGCCCGTTCCACGAGGATGGAGCGGCGCGCAATACTGCAATCGGTGGGAATTCCGAGCAATGAGAGATGTTGCAGTCTGAGAGCCGTGAAGCGGTCGTGGGGAGTCGGGGACCGCGTTGAAACCATCGCGCGGAGTGGGTTAGAGGCAAGCCGTGAGGAGCGCAGCGGCCAGCGGCGGGAATGCTAGGGAATCGAGGGGAAGGTTGAGTCAACAGCAACGGTCACATGACAATCCCGTTGGCCGGCCAACCGGTGGGATGACCGCAACTCGGCCGCCCCATCACGTAATAATCCCGCAGCCGAGGGGTGTCACGTGACAATCCCGCCACCCGGGAAGCAAATCCGGGTACTTGCAAAAGTCCAACGAAGTGGAAAGCTCGCGAAATGCCAGGAGAGGTTGTTGGGCGGCCTCAGGGCACCGGCAACCGGTGGAGCGACCCAACAGACGAGGTTGTTGGGTGGCCTCAGGGCACCGGCAACCGGTGGAGCACTCCAACGTGGACTGGATGGACCAGGAGAACCTCAAGGTGGAGAGAAACAAGGAACTCCATAGACCCCAAGGATCAAGAGAAGTTGTCTACACCTTCATACTATTTTGTAGTGACCCATAGGTTGCCCAGTGCAACAGAGTCAAGACTATCTTGAAGGTAACTACGTGTGTGCATTTGTGTGTGTGCATTCGTGTATGTTTAAGGGGAGACGAAAATGGGTAGACCCATGGGCTTGAGAATGAGCACAGGGGGAGGTGACTGATAATTCGAGGTGAATGACCAAATGAATTGATCTTTAAGTTGGGTATAAAATGGTCTTCATAGTAAGGGGGTAGTATAGAGAGTAAAGTGAGGGTTGCAGCAGGAGAATGTGAGATAGTGGGTGAGCAAGAGGCATCAACAATACAAAGAGACAAACATAGAGAAATGAATGTAAGAGAGAGAATCTTTATTGTGGAAAAAAGGATATTCTCTTACCCTGTTAACTTGTGAGCAAACTGCGATAAATGCCTGATCCCTCAGTGAGTCATGTAGGGGCACTAAGTTCGAGGCCTTTCAATTGGGATCAGTTAGGCTTCAAGAGCTAGACTAGGGGATGTTCAGACCTCTTCCAACATGCACACAAGGGGGTCAACCACATGAATCCCTCGGGATTGGAGGGAAGAGATGCAATACCTAGAGTGGCACTGGTTTGACTCTATATGCACTTGAGTTTGCCAGTGATTGGACATCGTGATCCTTTATAACTCAGGATCAACTGGCAGCGAGATGACTCAAGTTGTATAGCCTGGGGGAGGCAGCCACCTTTCGTCCACCATGTTGTAGTAGGGGTGTGTTGTACTCAGAATGGTTGTACGAGCAATGGTAGTAGGATGGGGTAGCAGTGTTTCATGATGCATGCGGTGGCTGCTTTTATTTGTGGTGCTCATCATGATTGGATACGGATTGAAACATAGGAAGAAGACGTAGGTCATAAGTGATCTTACGTTCGTCCTCAATATATTGGTTGTTTACTATGGCATGTGGCACCAGTTGGGCGATTCACCGAGGTGATCTCCTCAGTGCTATGACTTTGGACTCTCCTCCTAGATTATAGGAGGATCCACCCACCCTCGAGGTTCTAAAGAGAGAACGCTACCATATTGAGTTGCGTCATTTGCAAACAGAATTGCCAACTCTGTTTTGCGTGGTTGAGGGAGAAAGAAGACATTCGACTGATATGATCCGGAGGCATATAGACAACGGAGTTTTGAGCCTCCATTCAGGTGTGCTAGGAGGAGTACCTGGCCACTAAGGCGATCTAGGCGCTTGGATTGTATTGGTTGGTTGTATCTCTTGATTCTAGGGGATTTCTTACTCCAGATCATTGTTTGTAGCCAGATATTGGTCTTGGACCAGAGAGAAGAAACAAAGCAAGTGGGTGTCACCAAGGAGTTACTGGGCCGGTCGCGTTATCTGTCGAGATGGGTACGGCTGGTGTTGGGATTCTGATTGCCGCGGTGGTAATCGCGTTCGGCGCACCGATCCAGGGCCAGTTTCTGTAGTTTGCAGCCGCGCCAGTAGACCGGTCATTTATAAGCCCATGTTGGTGCCGGAAGATCTTGTTTCTATTTCTTCTAAGGAGATTTTATTATTTTCGAGTTTCTTCCTTTTTTGTTATTGGGACTAATGATCACCACTCTGGTATGGGACGGAGTGATGTGGTGTTTTATCTTCTAAGGTTCTTGCGTTTAGGGTCAGCCGCTTCTTCAAGAGGGAAGTGATGTTATGAACATTTGACTATTGGGAACTTTGGGACACAATATGTAGCTATCGGGTCTCGGTGCACTAGGGTGAAGTGGGTAGTGTTTGCTTTCTCTCGGTTCTTAGGGCATTGAGATATAGCCATAGGGGCCTGAGGGATTGTCTTTATGTGCTAAGGGATTTCTGGGGACATTCATTACTTTATTGTGGAGTCAAAATGGGCCTACCAACTTAAGGAGATAATTAAACAATCTAGCATAAATATGGAGTATTGTACTGTTGTAACAATCCGTTTTGGGTTCCTTGCCTGCCTCACCTGCCTGGGCAGGTCCTGAGCGCGCCCCGCGGCGCCACCCTCTCGGGGGTGCATTGCGGGTGCATAACAATTTTCTGCCTGTTTTGTGGCCTCGTGGAAGCAAGTCTTGCTATTTGTGGGTTGACAAATTGCCCCCCCTCCACGCCCACCCACCTATGCAAGCACCCATGTTTTTTGGATTTGTTGGACCTTATGTGCGAGTATCCGAACTGGGGATGGACACCGCCAAACTCAAACCACTTCGAAGGATAACTTAGAGCTTGGTTTGCCCCTTCCTCATGCGCGTTTGGTGCGGGAAGGCCATCCGCTACACGAGTGGCAACAATTCGAGATCACGAGCAGCACCATCAATTGGCGATGCGGCTGGCTGACCGATGGGGCTTTCTCCTAGGGCTTCTGCAGGCTAATAATATAATAGTAGCACAAGAAATTGCTCTCCCTGGGTCGCCCTCGCACGGCGTTGGTGCCCTTCCTGGTGCCAAAGGCAACAAAGGGGGAAACTGTTATTGTGCAATATCAGACATAAGGCCATGTCATATGTGTCCAATAAATGGGCACCTGATCTTGGAGCCAACCACCATAATTTTGCTAGTGGGAGGCAAGTATTGACAATAGTTGTCTAATTTGGGCCGAACAATTGGTATGCCAGAAAACAGCCTTGTTGCCTCGTTCGTGAGGCAAATGACAACTAAATGGGATGTGCGGCCAAACCATGACATATCACGACAGGTGAAAGACCGCAATCATTGAGGACAGTCTAAAGGGCTCTTTTTGCTTAGAATGCAAGGCAGTTGCCCCTCTTTACTCCAAACAAGGGCAGACCATGAGGCCCGCCCCTAGCTCGGGGGTGAGGCAAACCGCTAAGACGTCAGTGGACTAGTTCTATGATCAGCGTCAAAGGGAAACGATGAGAAAGGAAGCGAGTCGGGTGATGGCGGATGCGTAGGTGTGTCACGAGCACATAGCAGTTGATTTAATTGATGATTTACATCGCAAGTTAAGGGTAAATGGTCATGTGTTAAGATGCACTTACACTAGTCTGAGTGTGTCAGCAAGTAAGAACCCGCCGACCGCGTACGCGGCTGCCCGGTTCCGGGGAATAGCCCGGCGGGCGGGTGGAGGGCGTTCCTTGGGGCCCTGGGAAGATACACTGGTCTGAGTGTGTCAACAGTACTGTTGACTGGGAGGCAAAACATCCTCTCATGCACCCAGCTCTGGCTCCAGCGCTTCTTTTTTGGCAGTCCCGGGTGGTCCAGCGTCCAAGCCGCGGCGCGGTCTGCGCCACGCAGGCAGCTTCGCGTCATATGCCCGGGCGGCGCCATTTTGACCAAGTAACGTTTTGCACACCAACGCGGCTGAAGCGCATCTGAACCAGCTGAAGCTTCCACAAGCTTGCCGATTGCGGCGCGCCCAGGGGCGCCATGGAGGGCGGGCAAACGGCCTCCAGCGCAACAGATGGTCTCGAGGAAGGCGTGTCAAGCGCAAGAAGCGCGGAGGGGAGCTTGTTGCACGGGGAGGGCTCACAGTCGAAGTCCCAAGGAGCGACGGGCCAAGAGGGAGAGGTGTTGCTGTCGATGCAGACGATGTCCGCCCGGAGGTTGAAGCTCCTGTTCAGGGTGCTGTACGCGTCCATAGAGGTGGCCTTCGCGGCACTGGTGGCCATCCTGACGCTGAAGTTCAGCGGGTGGATGGAGGGGATCAACTCCACGCGGCCTCTGCTGTACATCAACGCAGCAGTGTCGCTGCTGGGTGCGGCGGTGTTGTGGGTGGGGTTCGGAATGTTAGTCCTCAGGGTGCGGAAAATCAACCGGATGGGGTTAAAATGGGGGATAATTAGGCACAGATTGGTGGTTACAGTGATGATTGAGACAGCGCTCATGGCTGGCATTGATGTCTTGTCCCTCGTGCCCAATCTTTATGTCCTGAGCAGGGACTGTGGCTACTTCGACCTGGTGCCCCTGTGGGGGGCTTACGCAAGTCCCGTACTCTGGGGCACGTTGCTGAGCCTGTATGTCTTCAAAGCCAGGTTTGCAAATGCCTGGCCAGCCAGGAGGGACTGGTCACTGGGGCCGGGACGGGTGGGCATCATGCTGCAAGGGCCTTTGTGGATCCATTGGCCGATTGCATTGTATTGGGCACTGTGGCAAGGGGTCATTCTTGTACCACGTTTCCTTGCTAGACAAGCATGCCAAGGACAAGCACCTGCTGCAGGGGTTGTGTGAGGAAAACTCGAGGGTGTGTTTTGAACGTACGTGGCCCGGGGGTGTCTCGATTGCATCGACAGCTCTTGCGTATGGGTATTTCGCAATCTACCTGGTGCACATGAAGCGCTCCTTCAAGCTGCTGCACTGCAGGAGCTACGACCAGCACCGATGGGGATTCATTCGCCTTCGGTACGACCTGTCCACAATTGGGCCTGCTTTTTTGTTTCTCCTGCTGAGCCATAGCCTCCTCTTTGCGATTGACAGCCACAGCTGCTTCAGCTACACCATAGTTATTTTTGGCTATGTGCCGCCTGAAGTGGTCTTCAATGTGCTCACTGCCATAAATGTAGTATTTTTCATGCCAACGTGGCAACAGAATGAGGATCAAGCATCAATACCAGTTGGCGACAGGTTGGCCTGGACTGAGACTGTCCAGTTCAGGAGACAGGGGCTCAGCAAGCAGGAAGGTTTGAACCGGAAGAGGGATGGTTTGAGCTGTGCTCTGCAGGCATCATTTTGCTTTGAAACGGCCGTCAAGGTGTATTACTTGTGCGAGGCAGTCTACGAACACTGCTCCAGGGCAGAAGATGCCAAGCTTCAGGATGCTAAGTTGCAGAGTGCCAGGTCCCATAGGAAGCCTGTGGGGCAGCGCAGTACCTCGTTTGATCTGAGTGTTGCGATGAACCTGTACAACCTGGAGCACTGCAAGTTTGTGAAGGAGAAGCTGGACACAAATGCGCTCATCGCCTGGAATGAGACCACCATCGTTGTGTCTTTTCGAGGCACGTACAGTGCCACGAACTTGCTGACTGACCTGCAGTTATGGCGGCTGCCACACCCAGAGCCTAGGGGGCACTTCTGGCTGGGGACGATGCCACTCGTGCACAAGGGCTTCCTTCAGAGCTGGAAAGCACTGAGCAGCAGCATAGAGTCCAAGATCTTGGAGATCGTTGGGTCACCAGGCTTCAAAAAGGCAGACATGTGGGTGTTGCTGACAGGGCATTCTTTGGGTGGGGCAATCGCTCAGCTGGCGGCATACGACATACGCAAACTTCTCAGTTTGAGGGAGGATCAGGTGTCCGTTTACACCCTGGGCTGCCCTCGTGTGGGCAACCATGCCTTTGCTCACGATTACTCCAAGTTTGTGCCTGACACCTGGCATGTGGTGAATCACCTAGATGCCATAGCCAAGGCACCAAAGCTTTGGATCCTCTACAAACACTGTGGGCACAAAGTGGTGATCAACGGCCTGGGGCATCTGATCGTGAGTCCAACGTTTTTGGAAATGAAACTGACGAGCGCCTTTGCCAGCAGCAGAATCCATGACCACTTGCTTTCTGGCTACAGAAAGAGTTTGTGCGCCATAGTCCGTGCACAGTTCATTAAGGACAAGGGACTACCTGGAGGGAGAAATGCACTTGCTGAGTTGATGCGCGGGGGCCTTGTTTCGCAAGTGCTGGGTGTGGATGGGAGGGCTGTGGCTGAGCTTGAATCCTGGGGCAGCAGGGCGTGGGAGAAAGAGAAGCAAATCAAGATCGACAAGTTGAGGAAGAAATTGCAGGCGGCAGCCACGTGTCTTTGCTTGCCCCTGGTGGGCTGTGTTAGTGGAGCAAAGAATGGAGAAGAAGAAAGTGCAGGTGCACAATCGATGAATGCTGAGATTGCAGGCCTGTCTGCCAGCAACAGAGGGAAGAGCGATCAAGCGACTTCATCAGTAAGCACTGCTGCTGATGTCTGCTGATTGGGCCGCTGCTAAATGTCCAGCTGACAGTGAGTAGTGATTATGTTGGGGGCTTTGTTGCCAGATCCTGACATATGTTGCACAGAAGCTGCTGCGTAGAATTTGCCCAAGGCCGTGGACGAGGAATGCAGTCCGAATACTGAGTTCCTGTACAAACCACAACCCCTCAATGGGCACAGATCAATGCTGTTGTTGGTACCTTAGGCACCAGCAGCGGTGCCAAGTTGCCAGAATGGAGCAACTGATTCAAGGCTCTGGGTAGGTGTGGACAAATTCATTTGGGGCGAGGCTGTGGTTGGGGCATTGTGTGACTTGTGATGAAACACGAACTGCAAGTGGGATCTTGGCGATCCAGCCTCGAGACAAGTCGACATCCTATCAGCTGGCAGATATTGAAAGTGCCCCAGAGGACTTGGGCAAGTCTCTGTTTTCTTGGCCAGCGCTTCTGAGCTGTTCTGTCAATGGTGCATGTGATACCCCTAGGAAGTGCACGTGCTGCATCAGAAAAGCGTGCAGTTCGAAAAGACTACTTTCTCTCTGCGGTGTGGATGTGCAGCCACTACAGGTATGTACATGTATTACTCAATAACTCTCTGTATTTGTTGCTTTTGCGGCATATGAACTCGAGAGGATCTTTCATGTCAATACAAGTTGGAGACTTATATCATTTGGGTGCTGTGCAGCTTGCATGCATCCACTTTGTGCCATCTGCTGTACATTGGAGATAAAGTGGCAGTTCAAATAAGTTGATTGCATTGGAAGCTCAGCATGGTACAATGAAGTGCAAGACACTGGAAAAGTTGCGGATCTCAGGCTCATGTAAGTGAGCCTACTGCGTGGCATTTCTGCTGCTTAGCAAGTCACTGACTCCCCAAGGCCATAAGCTATGGCCGTCTTGGCCTGCTGTCTGCTGCACTCAGCATGGCAGGTTGCTGTTTGCACTGCCAGGATCCCCGTTGCGCAAATCCAACATCTCTATGCTGCTATTCTGCACCACTTATGTGTTGTGTCAGCGATTTGTGACCAGCGAATTTCAACTGTGGCTAGTTGTCTTTGTTTCTTTTAACATTGCTTTTATTGGTTTTGTTAACCTTACTTTTTCAGTTAGTTTACCTCTTATTCAGCTGCTCACACTCACTGAAAGGTATTCCCTACTCGGAGTGAGACTAAAATCTTGAACGTGGAAAGTCTGCTCACTGTGATTCTGTTTATTCTCCCATCAGAGTTCGACACATTGACGATTGTTGTGTTGTGATCTGCAGTGCAGCACCAGGCATTCTTGTGACTCCGGAGGACCCCATAAGCTGGACGAGATGCCTGTCATAATTGCCCTGCACGACTGGTGAGTCGGCTGGTGTTTAAGGTGGACCAGTTGCAAGCGATGGGGGAGCATGGGCGGCTGTAAAGTCTGGCTGCGAGGGGATGCTGTTGCTGTGATCCTCGAAGCCGGAGGGCGGTGCTGTGTGTGGAGTTAAACGCAAGGTATGGTGTTTGCCGCATAGGCGCACCTGTTTTGCCAAGAAGAGAGCTGGGCATGCGCACACGCATGTTTCAGGCGTGGATTGCGAGCTCGAGCAAACGAACATGCTGCATGCGACTGCTGATTCGAAAGGGTAATGGAGCTGTGTGGGGTGGGATTTGTTACCAAGGACGAGACACAGTTCACACAAAGGGCAACCCCACCTATGTAAGTGCCTGAGAGACTCTGTGCCATAATGTGGAAGGTGATGCAGAGTGTCCTAAGGTAAGTAGAGCACACAATACCAGCACCACGAAAGCGAGAAACTTGCACTCGGCTGGGGCCGCATGTATGAGCATGCGTGCATGTGTGCAAAGTCAGATGTGGTGCAAGGCCTCCAAGGACCTGCCCACCGTACCCATTATTCGACCACACCAGAAAGAGAAGTTTGCTATCCGCTGGAAGTGGTCACTCCCACCAGACATAAACCTCTTGGTTAGCATTTTCCTCCTTCTGCCCCAGACAAACCTATACCTCTTGTTACATTGCGGAATTTCAGATTTTGAGACCCAACAGACCCATGGTTTACATCCGCAAACAGCATTGAACACGCATTTCGCAGACGATTACCCACAGCCCCGGGAAAATAAAGCCCACCACCCAAACGCTGGCCAATGCTCCAAAGACTAGTTGTCTGCCCAAAGGCTGGCAGGCAGCCCTGCGCGCAGCCAAAATCTCAAAACCCAGTCAGAAGCCCAAAGCCCAGTCGAGCTGACTGAGCGAACTGCCCAAGAAACGAACCAATGCCCAATCTCTGGCAAAACGCGCAATTCCCTGCAGAACATCAAAACGATTCCATGGAAAAAACCGCAATCTTGGTCCTCACTGTCTCTCAGCCATATATGGATACGTATCTGGCTATTTGGCTATTATGCCAGAGACCGCCACCCAAAGGATACCCCCACGTCCAATCGTGCACCCATTGTGAACCCATTGAAAAACAGAACGAAGTCGACGGCGGCGACTATAGCGCTGCAAACCGGAGCAGTGCTGTAGTATATTTAACCCTTTCACGTTTTGAAATTTCAGCGTTACTATTTTGCTTCGCATTTTCTTGACAGGCAGTTAACTGGGGCTCCGCATCACAGTCACAGTCAGAATGGCGACTCTGCTGAGTCTGCATGGCCTCAAAGCCAGTTTTCCGCCAGATCGACTCATGCACCTGGGTCCTCTAAAGGCTGCGAGCAGTCCGGGGACCACTGCGTTGCGGCTGGACTGCTCCACATTTTATGGGCACCGTTACTTCTTTTTACCATTGCTTCGCATAAAAAGGCCAGCGTTACGTTACAATGTGGAAGGGTACACCTTACTATACATAAGGGGAAATGACAAAAGGGGGCCCTCTGTGAGATATCCTGACAAAAGGGATTCCTCTGACAGCCCCCTGTACATTAGACGCGTTGCCAGCCTGGTGTCAGACTGGCGCCGGTCAGTAAGCCGGTTCTACTAGGGGCTACCGCACAAAGGACCTGGTTTTTGGTCAAAGGCACCCCTGCAGAAGACCCCCTTTTGTGAAATTCCCTCTTGGGGGTCTTGTAGGGGTTTATGTGGTCTTCGCGATGCCATTCAAATGACCCCCCACCCCACCCCACCCCACCCCACCCCACCCCACCCCACCCCACCCCACCCCACTCCCCACCCCACCCCACCCCACCCCACCCCCCCCCCCCCCCCCCCCCACCCACCCCCCACACACACCCTTTGGTGTATCAATTAAATGCAATTGGTCTCCATAAAAATACATGAATCATTATGAGCAATGACGCGATTATATTCCTGCTTCCAAAGTCATTGAATAACGAATTTCAGGGCAGAATCTGAAGAGATGGCATGTAATCCGAAAATTTTCATTCTTTCAAAATCGTTAGCTTGTCATGACATTTAGTTCAGTGCGGGCATTTCAAAAACGTGCAAGCTTACCTGCATGGCACAAAGGAGTAGGTGTTGCATGAGCTTCTGAGCAGGTGCTCAAGAAATAAAGTGGACTTGCATGGTATGTGTACGCATGGAGCAAAATGGCTGCATGTTACTCTGAGATCACAACACAGTACTTTGTGTCTTTTTGGTGAGTTTCGCGCCATAAGTGATGACTGAGATACACTGATCGCTCAGCACATGGGTTGAGGGTTATAGAATTGTTTGATAACAATTCTGATTTGCGATTGATGGGTTGTATTCGATGGGCAAGGCTGTTGGTGACTGTTAGCCAGCATTAGTACAGATGCCACAAACATTTTCACAGATCATCAACAGCCATCCCCGATCTCACATAATTGTCCCAAACAACTCGGTTCGCATTGGCAATGCCTCTAATGTACAGGGGGCGGTCAGAGGACCCCCTTTTGTCAAATGCACCCTTGCGGAGGACTCTCCTTTGTCAAGATATCTCACAGAGGACCCCCTTTTGTCATTTTTCCTATACATAATATACTACGGTATGCTTGCCGATGTGAGGCTCCTACATTGTGTGGTCTCGGGCTGTACAATACACTTGTCACACAAATGTGCATGCAGTCCTACATTGCTTCAACGCCACCATGTTATGCACTGGCGAAGGAAGTGCAGGTGGGCTGCATGCTGTTGATGCATAGAAGAAGTGCGCGTGAGCCTTGGCGCTTAAGACGGTGCATTCATGCAAAGCCACATGCAAAGCAAGTGAAGAATGCATATAACAAGTATAGTCACGTTTGTGGAATCTGTCAGCGTCATCCACACAAAGTCTGCCTTGGGAGAATGACTTTGGGACAGTTGAATAACCAGCTTCTACGCACATTGTGCAACACCGGGCAGAAGTGAAATTCCAAAAATAAATATTTCAACATTACTTACCGAATTGCAACAATGCTGCAACCAAAAAGGAGTCTGTGTTGTATCGGCAATCCAGCACGTCAATGTTACGAAATATTGACGGTGCATGTTGAGCTTTAAACGTAATTGATGAGAGTAGCCTTGCTTCTGTTGAAACGCAATATGTGGAACAAATTTTTGCTGGTATTGGTGCGATTGCATTGTAAACAACGTGTTGGCTTGTTGGTGCAGCATTGGCATGCAGGAGTGGAAATGTTGTGTTATCGATAGTGGTACTGCTACTATAGTTTCATTTTCAGCAATTAAATGCTGCCCAACACGCACCTATCCGCCGGACTGAAGTGAGAGAACCTTGTCAGCAAAATTGCTGCAAGCGTGTTGTGCGCTTCGACATGCTCTGTGGGTACGGCAGTAAAGATGCTGCATCAGTGCGTTGGGTGCTGGGAATCCTTTGTTGACTATCGCTGTTGGCGATGTGATTCACGTAGTTGCTAAAAGTGCGTTTTCCGTTGTGTTTGCGCTTGGTGCATAGCCAAGCTTGCGCCTCACTAACGTCTTTCGCAGGCATGTGCTGGAAACGGAGCGCCACTGCGGTACCTACCTGATGGACGCTTCAAGCAATACTTATCCTGATGCATTGCAGGTTAACAGCTACAGAGCAGTACCATCCTGT